ACTGCTGTTTCTGCAGGGCGACATCCACTCATCCCAGTCTCTTTAAGAAGATCAATCACATACTTTCTTTGTGAAATTGCAACTCCCTTTCTTGACCTGGCTACTTCCATACCAAGGAAGTATTTTAGTGAGCTTAGGTCCTTAATCTCAAATTCGGAAGCCAGACTTTGCTTTAGACGATTCATCTCAACAGTATCATCCCCAGTAAGGATGATGTCATCCACATACACTATAAGAACAGCTACTTTCCCATTGGAGTGTCTTGTGAACATCGTGTGATCTGCTTGCCCCTCGTCATATCCCTGTCTTCTCACAAATTGAGTGAATCTCTCGAACCAAGCTCTTGGGGATTGTTTTAGACCATACAGAGACGTTTTTAGCTTGCATACCCGGGTTCCATATTTTTCTTCAAATCCTGGCGGTGGATCCATGTAGACTTCTTCATCCAAATCGCCATTAAGGAACGCATTCTTCACATCTAGTTGCTGTAGTGGCCAATCTAAGTTGGCTGCAAGTGATAGGAGTACCCTGAGAGTATTGAGCTTTGCCACTGGTGCAAAGGTTTCAAGGTAGTCAATCCCATATGTTTGAGTGAACCTTTTTGCTACTAGGCGAGCCTTGTATCTTTCCAGAGATCCATCTGACCTATATTTTGTTGTGAACACCCATTTACAGCCAACAGTCTTCTTCCCCTTCGGCAATTCTATCACTTCCCAAGTTCCATTCTTTTCAAGGGCTTTCATTTCCTCGAGAACAGCTTCATTCCATTCATTAACCTTTAGAGCATCCTGCACATTCTCTCGACAATTGTGAGGTAAAGGCAGAGAAAACAGGTGACAGATTTTTGTAGGACACAAAGTTTGACATGGGATATTTTGCACAACTTCGGACCCCTTTGCGCTTAGCAATAGGAAGGTCAGCCTCAGGTATATAGGGCTCGGATTCAAGATTGGGTAGGTTGGTGTGAATAGATATAGCATGAGGAATACCTGATTCGGGAATATTCTGTGGTGTAGGATCTGGACTGATCTGTGGTTCAGGCTCTTGGCAGTGTTGGCTAGTTTCAGTCTCCATTCCTTGCTTCCAGTTCTTCCTCCTGTAAACCAGCAGTTTTTGTGTTCCTGTTTGTTCCCTATTTTCATCTTTATTAATGTTATGAGATGACTCTATAGACTCAGGATTCAAATTTTCATTACTCACATCACCTAACTCTGTATTTATTAGGAAATTTAGGCTTCTTGCAGTTTCTATTTCAAAGTTCGAATCTTCCATTATGCTCTCCTCCTGAAGATGAGTACCAAAAAATGGTTGAGACTCAAAGAAGGTAACATCCATTGTGACAAACATTTTTTTTGAGCTCACGTCATAGCACTTATATCCTCTTTGGTTCGGAGCATAGCCTACAAATATGCACTTTCTAGCGCGAGGATCTAACTTTCCCCTATTTTGGCTGTGAATATGGACAAATGCACTACACCCAAACACTCTCAAAGGTAAATCTGTAGTCAACTTTGAGGCAGGGAAAGTGTTCTTGAAGACACTTAAGGGTGTTTTATAATCTAAAACTTTGGTAGGCATGCGGTTTATGAGGTATGTGGCAGTTAGGAGAGCCTCTCCCCAAAGGTACTTAGGAACACCATTAGTAAATAATAATGCTCTCGTGACTTCTAGGAGGTGTTTATTTTTTCTTTCTGCTATGCCATTCTGTTGGGGTGTATCTGAACACAAACTTTGATGTATTATGCCCTTGTCTGAAAAATATCCTCCCAATATTTCATTAAAGTATTCTCTGCCATTATCACTCCTAAACACTTTTATTTTCTCTTGAAATTGTGTTTCAATCATTGTATAGAATACCTGAAATATCTTTTTTACTGCAGACTTGTCCCTTAATAAATATACCCAAGTGAGTCGTGTGTGATCATCTATAAAGCTAACAAACCATTTTTTTCCATACATTATTGAGGCTCGAGATGGTCCCCAAACATCACTATGAATTAATAAAAACGGTTTTGTTGCTTGATATGGTCTAGCGGGAAAGGAAGAACGATGATGCTTAGCTAGTTCACAAATCTCACATTTAAAAGAAGATGGACTTTTATTTCTAAATAAATCAGGTAACAAATGTTTTAAGTAATAAAAACTAGGATGCCCTAATCTATAATGCCAAATCATAACATTATTAGAAACGGAAATAGAGTTGAAACAAGAGTTTGTAACTAGGTGTCCTGATTCGGATCCATCTTCAAGGAAATAGAGCCCTCCACTTTCTCTAGCACTGCCAATCGTCCACCCCGAGACCATGTCCTGAAACTCACACCGAGAAGAGTAAAAAGTAACACGACAATTCAGAGAACTTGTTATCTGACTGACAGACACAAGATTGCAAGAGAGTTTTGGAACATGGAGTACATCATGCAAGGTTATATAACTGGAAATTTTGACAGTCCCTGTTCCAGCAATTGCAGAGAGGGAACGCAATTCTAATCTTCCTATTCCCTGCACATGGAGTATAAGTTGAAAAAAAATGGGAGCAACTTGTCATGTGATCAGTGGCTCTTGAATCTATAATCCAAGAGCTGTTTTGTTTGGGATTAACACTGAGGAAGGCTGAGGCGAGATTACCTGTTTTGACAAAATGACATGAAGGGGTTGATTGGTTTACTCGAAAGTGTGAAGACTGAAAAAGTTTGTGAAGACTGAAAAAGTTTGTGCAGCTGCTCTAATTGTTCCTTTGTGAAAGACAGCCCTTCAGAAGTACCTTGCTGCCCCTGATCTTCACTGGTTGCTTGAGCCGAGAAGCCCCTGGAATCAGCACTCTTTTTCTTCCAGTTCTGCGCTTTTCCGTGGATCTTCCAACAATTTTCCCTCGTATGCCAATGTTTTTTGCAGTGGTCACACCAGGGCTTCTTCTTCCTGTCATTATCTGAGTCATTCCTCATTGACACAAGGGCAGAATTATCAGTCACAGCAGCCACTGGTTTGTCATCCTCCTCGGTCTTCATCATAACTTTCCTCCTAGTCTCCTCTCTTCTAATTTCAGAAAACGCCTCCCAAAGAGTTGGTAGGGGATTTTTCCCAAGAATCCTAGACCTAATCTCATCATAGACTCGGTCCAAACCAGCCAAAAAAAGGTACACCCGATCACTTTCTTCTTTTTTCATAAATCTAACGCTATCCATCGGGCAATCCCACTCATCATTATAGCATTGATCTAATTCTTGCCATAGAGACACCATCTCATTATAATAAATGGTAACCTCACGCTCACCTTGTTTGGATTTCCACAACTTGGTTTTTAATTCAAAAATTTGTGAGGAATTTTCAAGATCAGAATAGGTTTCTCTCCCTGCATCCCATACGTCTTTTGTAGTGGGAAGGAAAAGATAGGGCTTACCTATAGTTGGTTCCATAGAGTTAATTAACCATGCAGTAACTAACGAATTTTCTGACCTCCATGCCCTTAGTTTCAGTTCCCCATCTCCAGGCTTCTTCACTTCTCCATTCAAATGACCAAGTTTTCCTCTTCCATCAATGGCCAACTTCACCGATTGTGCCCATTCTAGGTAGTTCTTCCCGTTCAGTTTGTGGAGAGTCAATTGGAACGAAAATTGAGTCGAGTCTCCTCCTTGTGCCATGGTGGTTCGATCTGGTTCACCACGATTAGAATCTCCTGCCCTAGAGGATGCCGAGGATCTGCCTTCTTCTGTGATGGCCGTTTCAGCCATGGGTTAAGAAGGTATTTTTCGGCTCTGATACCATGAAGGTTTCAGGGCAGAAAAGAATATATTCTTTATTGATCAATTCCTATACAAGAAGTTACAATATTTACAGGAGAAAACCCTATGGGAATCAGGAAATAAAATCCCACGGAAAGAGGGATTAGATGAGATCCTTATCTCAAGAGATCTCCTTTAAAAACTGAAAGTATAAACTACTTTCTTATCTTATCTCTAAGCCCCTATTAACCGGATTATTCCTATTTTCTCCAATATCCATTTCATGAGAATATTTGGAGAACTCGTGCCCCCACAAAGGTTAAAGCTTTTTCTTGGCTTTTAGCGCTTAATAAAGTGAATTCTCATGAGTCATTGCAACGTCGAAGCCCATTTATTTCGTTGTCTCCAGGATGGTGCTGTTTACGTAGGGCTGATGGGGAGACTTCTGAGCACCTCTTTCTTCATTGCCGTTATTCTCGCAGGATATGGTCCTTTCTCGTTAAGGAGTTTGGTTTTCATTGGGTTACGCCAGGGAGCTGTGCTGAAATGTTGATTTTTTCTCCTCCTGCTATTAGTGCCAACTTTAGCTACTTTTTAGGGCTTGTGGATGGAAAGGAATAATAGGATCTTTGAGGACATAAGGGTAAATGAAAACGTTCTTTGGGATAAAATAAAATACTGGGTGCCATTGTGGGTATCCAGAGATAGAGTTTGGGAAAGATTTTTTTGGACTTTGAGGACTTGGGGTGCTTTTTTATAGCCCTGTCCTGGTTGTTTTTTTTTTTTTTGTTTCTGGTCTGATCAAAAATTTTTTATTCTAAAGTTGGAGTTTGGTTCTGTTGCAGATAACTCTTCCTCTTCTTTCCTTTCTACGTTTATTATATTCAAATAAATTTCCTTTCTTTTCAAAAAAAAAAAAAAAAGAATATCAAAGTTCATTGAAAGTGCCAATTGCAACAATTATGGTGCCTTGTCGAAATTGAAAATATAATCTCAGAACCAACAGGTTCTTCTGCCCAGAACCGACTCAAGTTATTCTTAGAGACCTTAGTTTGTACCATCTTTTTGTTTTTCTTTTTCCTTCTTTTTTTCCTTTCTGAATAGGAGTTACGGGATTTGAACTTGGAACCTCAATTTTAGAAGTTGGTATGTTCACTGTCCAAGCTAAGCTACGACTAGTTGAACCCCCCTTGGTTTATACTTTTAGTATCCTTAAATAAAGAGACTGACTTCATGGATTAAAGTATAGAGAAAAATCATCAAAGGCCGAATATGGTGTACCTGGCTTTGCTCTCCCTGATAATGTACTGCTCCCCACTCTCAAAAACCTCTGCCCTTTTTAGCAAATCTGTATCGGAGTCCTCTGTTCCAGAATGTTCTTCGAGTTCCGTTATCCTTTGAAAGAAAGATCTTCGTTAGGAAGTATTGACTATCATAATATTAATTACTTTTAATAATAATTTGATAAAACTCCAAACACCAATTCACAAATGAAACCGAGAAAAGATCAAAGAAATGATACAAAGTGTGATTTAGCAATAGTTCGAGACCACCCTGCTTGGAATGGATTTCCAAGACTTTTCCCTCAACCAAAACTGATCTCTCGGTAACCTATCTCATCTCCTTCTTTCCTCTTTTATTCTACAGATCCAATCCGTAGGTGTAAGTAACGCTCTAAAACAACCTGTAACTAACACTATAACCAAACCACCCAACCCAACAAACTAACAACTCTCCTTTGTTATGTTTACAGTAACCCCCTTTAGAAATAACTACAACTTCAGTTGGAGCTGCACTCACATATCTGTAACGCCCTTTAGAATTAAACATGTTTAATTATGCTAAACTGTGGATTATTAGTGTGTCTAATTTGATTTTCATAATTAATTAAGGGACTTTAAGTCATTTTCAATATTTATAATTACACCCCAAAGATTTTTGGAAAACACACTTAAATTTAATACATTTTTCTTTTTTTTCATTTTTCTTTTTCTTTTTCCTTTTCTTTTCTTTTTCTTTTTCTTTTTTTTTTCTTTTCTTTTCCCCCCCATTCCCTTCCCGTGCGCCCAGCCCCCCTCTCTCTCTTTCTTTCCTTTTCTTTTTTTTTCTTCTTCTTCTTCTCTGGTTCTTCACGCACAGCCTCTCTCTCTCTCCGGGCTTCTTCCCGCCGGCGTCCTCTCTCTCTCTTGCTCTCTCTTTCCGGGTTTCTCTCTCCCTCTCTCTCTCGGCAGTTTGGCCGAAAATCTCAA